AAAACAACTTAGAGGAAGTGAGTGGCATGGTGGGGAGGTGACTGGGAGTGGCCTGATAACTGGTGGAGTACTAATTCATTAGGTGATTTTTAGGGTCCACTAACATCATGGCTTTAATTTGCATTTCCCTGATGGCTCACGTGAGGAGCCCTGGTGGCGCAGGGGTTAAGTGCTCTGCTGTGAACCAAAAGAATCCACCAGTGCTCTGCGGGAGAAAGATGTGGCAGTCTGCTTCCTTAAAGATTTATGGTCTTGGAAACTGTACGGGGCAGTTCTACTCTGTCCTATAGGGTTGCTATGAGTTGGAACTGACTCCATGGTAACGTTTTTTAACGGCTAATGTAATGAAATGAGTTCCTCTATGTGGTCTTTTTCCTTGGTTCTTTGTTAAAAACAGTTTGGGAGATTTTCCCCCTAAGCCCTACGGTGTTACCTTTGCCCTAGTTTTCTACCCCAGGGGGTTCCACACTTCTGTCTGGCTTTGTTGGAATTTCCTGGGTAAACCTGTAAACAGCCTGTGGTTTGATACTTTTTGTCTGGCCTTGGGCTGCAGCCTGCCCCATGATCGGTCTATTTGATTCACCTTACAGGGACTGCAAGCCCTGGTGGCACAGTGGTTAAGAGCTCGGCGGCTAACCAAAAGGTCGGCAGTTCGAATCCAGCAGGTGCTCCTTGGAAACTCTATGGGGCAGTTCTCCTGTGTCCCATAGAGTCACTATGAGTTGGAATCAACTCAACAGCAGTGGGTTTGGTTTCACGTTTACAGGGTTGGTCAATATACTTACGGAGATGAAGTGACCGTAGCATTCTTACGCATATTAAGCGTCTGTGGCCTCCTGAGAGGGGATCGGTCAGTTCATGGCCTTGGTGGGAGGAAGGGCCATGCCTTGAAATTGACGTGTTTGCCTGTGTGTGCAACCGATGCCACAGAGGTTCGCAGGCAGAAAGAAAGAAGCGAAAAGGAGAAAAAGCAAGAAGGGAGAAGCAGAGAGGAGAGGAGGAACCTCCTAAAACAGCTGTAACGCTGAAGACAGCGAGGGGCCCAGAAGGGGCCCTGCGGCAGAGTCAGTGGTGACGGCAAGGAGGCCAAAGGCAGAGAGGCCTGTCCTGAGGGGGCCGAGGGAGACCTGCCTTTCTTCATTGAATTGCTTTTGTACTTTTGTCAAAAAACAAAACATCAATTGGGTATACAGTAGAACCTGCAAAAGCTGCGACCTATGTAAGGCAGAAACCTGTCAGAGAAGGAAAGCTCAAATTATTTCGCACTAAAACCAGTGAAATAAAAGCGGTCAGACCGCACTCTGTCAAAGGCAGAAAATTTGCGAGACCCAGAAAAACAAGGCAGTCCCGTTGAGTTCCGGTGCTCACAGGGTCACTGTATTTGTTTGTTTGGGTCTATTTCTGAACTTTTAGAAAAGGGGGAAAAAAAAACCTAATAAATACAAATAGTTAATTCTTTGGGGGGTAGAAAACCCCACAATAAAATGAACTGCTAGCTAACCTAACCAAACAAAAAGAGAGAAAGCACAAATAATCAAAACCGAAAATAAGGTGAAATGACTACAGAATCGGAGGAGATAGAAAGAATCATAATCACCCACTCTGTTCGGTTCTACAGTACGTTTACACTGAGGTAGCTTTAATTTCTTACGAAACTATAATCTACCTAAACTGACCCCAGAAGGGGCGGAAACCCTAACTAGGCCAGTTCCCATAAATAGAGAGGGTTGTTGCAGATGTAGGTCTCCGAACAGTGCCGCCGGCTGATGGCTTCGCAGGCTAATTCTCCGTCTCTGAATGACACGTGATTCCAGTGCTATTTACACTATTTCAAAGCAGGAAAAGCAAGACTCCTAAGTTATTTTATAGCACTTGTTTACTTTAGTTAAGTAACATCATTGATTTTAAAACCTGACAAAGACTGAAACAAAAAGGCAACTGGAGACCAATCTTATTTATCCTAAGATGCTGGCAGAATCCAGCAGCGCTTTAAAAGCTTGAACTAAAAGAGATGTAAATTCATATTAAATTAAAATTCAAAGCAGTCTCTTAAAAATATCATCAATGCTTTTTGTTGGTAGTTTTGTTCTTTTTTTTGTAACTACGTAAGAGTAGTCAGGAGCACACAGGGAGCAAGGAGGCAGTGTCCTACCAGATGTGGAACCGTGTTGTGACTTGTGATCCTGACCGTGAATACATAGAACAGTGGAACCAACTATACAGCCTACAGACAGATCTCAGAACCTGTGGGAATTTGGTTTGATCAAGTAGCATTTCAAAACCGTGGGAACAAAAAATGGACTGACCATTCAGTCGACGATGTTGTCCAACATCTGGATGAAATGAAGTATGGTTCAAACCTCCACACCAGTACAAATTCCAAATGGACCAGGGATTTTATGGTGGGCCCGATTCTAATCCCCCCAGCCCCCCAACTCTAGAACCTATGAATATCACTCCTGTGATTATGCTATGTTCCATGGCACGGTTGGCCTTACAATAGGGAGATGATCCTGGATTATCGGGGTCGGCCCAGTGTAATCACATCAGCCCTTAAAGGCAGTTTTCTCAGGCTGCTGGCAGCAGAGATCACAGAGATTCAAAGCACGAGGGTTTGACTCACTGCTGCTGGTTCTGAGGATGGAAGGCGCTACGTGTAAGAAGCCAAGGTGGTTTCTAGGGATTTATGCTACAGAGAGGCCATA